GGGGGGGTGGGAGCGCGTGTTCCAGAGCCTGGGAGCCACTGCCAAGAAGGCCCGGTGTCTCGTTTTTTCTTTCCGGGCCTCCCTCGGCGTTAGGCTCCTTAGTCGCCCCTCCTGGCTAGATCGGGTGATATGAGTAGATCTAGGTGGGAGGAGGCGTTCCGCCAAGTTGTGAACTGAACTGTTTTTATGACCATATTGGTCTGTTAAATAAAAATAAAATATTAGAAATTAAGGGGAGGAAAACGGAAAATGGTTTGGTGTACACAAATCGTCGTTGTAACTTGCTCATAGAAAATTTAGGGCATTATATCAGAATCTGGCTGCAGTTAATGAGATTTTATCCTGAGACAGAGCAACCTATTTACACAAGAGTCTACACAGCTATAGAAACCAGTCTCTGGAAATTAAGTATACATCTGCAAAGTATCATGTAGTTCTGAATGACGGCATCAGATGTATGGTGTGGATTCTCAATCAGCTAATCGCTGCTCTTGTAGGAAGACGATGATGCTCCACCTTCAGTCCCAAATTCTCCCCCAACAGTTTCACATTTCATTAAAATACTGTTCCAGAAGTGCTCATTTCACATCAAAAAGCTACGTATGTAAGTTATGGGTCCAACTTTGCACCGTTTCAGTTTGTCCTACAAAGGAGCTTTTAAATTTAACTCAGCTCCAGTTATCAAAAGCTAATTTGAGAGCTGGTTTTATTGACTTCTTGAGGTCTACCCCTTCCTTAACTCATTACAAGAAAGCCATGAAGGAGTATTTTGGTAACTTGTACAGGTATCTTATGCAAAAAGGCTTCTTCTCTAATTACCAAGGCATACTCAAGGCATATCCTTGAAGCCACCCTCTTCCTCAGGCTGTGGTCCAAAAGAGCAGAAGTGTCCTTTGTCCTGACAGCTGGCCTTTTTTTCAACACAACTCTACAGCTGATGTGGGAGGTAGCAAGACTTTCATGGCCACAGAGAGAAAGCATCCTTCTATCTTCCTAATTCTTACACTTACTAAAGAAGAATCCACTGTATATGTCCTATGGACCTCATTTGGACAAAAGCCCAAGGAAAACAGCTGATGTCTTAGTACTTGAGAA